ACCTTTCCATACTGCCTCTGACTTTCACCTCTCTGCTGTGCTTTTAAATTTTGAATTATTTGCACTTGAAGTTGTACTTATTTTATTGAACTTCATGTTTTGATCTTTCCCTGTACACAATATTGACCTTTTAAGGTTTTTGAAATCTGTAGAATGATTTTGCACCAAGGATGTGACTAACTCCTGTGCAATTTTTGTTCCTGTCATGCAGAAGTGTCTCTTTTATTGTATAGTTGAAAGCAAGAGAAACAAAAGAGAATTAAATGGAGCAGAAAAAATTGAAGCAGAATAAAAAGGTGAAAGAATTGTGACACAATTGTGGATTACTGAAAGTTCACAAAACCAAGAGGACATACAACAATATAGTTTTCCTGATGAGACTGTGTGTCTTCTATATTCCTTCATTTCCATAATGATGGATTAGTGATCTATTCCTAAATAAGCAAAGTCAAGCTCAATCAGTGTCTGGGTAAAAGACCTCTTAGGCACTTGCATGTATTACAGTAATGAAGTAGATTTATTCTCATGAGACATTGAGGTAATATTAATGTTAGTTCTATTGCTTATGTCTGGTATTTTGATTTTAGATGCATTACTGGGGACTCATCATCATCCAGTTAATTTTTTTTTCCTTTCAGAACAGAGGTTAGTTCTGCTGTTGTGACAAAGTTATGATTTGAAATTGCACAGTTCTTGTCTTCCTTTTTGAACTGATTTATTGCATCGGTATCCATTTTCACTCCTGAGAAATTGTGGGATATGTATGCATTATACCACTCTGTTTCCCTCCATTAATGGATGAGTGTACAGCAGAGACTGTTTTAATGCAGACACATGTGAACTTATGTTACTTATATCTTTGCTACAAATTCCTGCAGAGGAGCACAGTGAATTTTAATGTAGCTTTTACCTTTCATTACGGCTGTGTGATTTACAACATTCTTGATTTGCCAGAAGCTCCTCCATTGCAATGTAGATTCTTGAAATGAAGTCTATTTGAGAAGTGGGATATGAAAAATTAGAGGGGAGATATTGCTTGTAATCAAATCAAAAGCTGATCTTCAAAAATTTTCAGGGTCCTCATATCTAGTCTATGTAAGCACAGTTTCTAATCTGAGAGATTGTCTTTAGTGTTGTAATTTGGCCTTGGCTCTAAACTTGAAAAACATGAAGGGATTGAACTTGTATTCACTTCAGTTTAAAGGCTTGATAAGGACAAATGGCATAATGGCTTAACTTAAATATTATTCCCTTGCATACTGCGGCTGGAGATGAAATTTTATTAATACATTAACCTAGTGGAGGTGATAATGAGGTGTGACTCTAATAGAGTTAGAGCAGTTGCCTGTAACTATTTAAATTAGAGGCCATTCTAAATGGAAAAAGAGAAGCCTTGTATAAACATAATCCTTTATAGCTCAAATCCCTCTGAAGAAATTATTTTATGTGTGGCTATAAACACTGTGTTCATAATAAAAATAATTTAACTAAACCAAAACAATTCAAGAGACATATATTTTACATGGTCTCCCTTTTTCCTGGTGCATTTTTGTCTGTGGCTGAGCTATATTCTCCAAAACCACAGCTCTCTCTTTCTGTTTGCATTAGGCCTGGCTTACTGGTAGAGATTCTAGTGTATGCTCTTAACAGTACGTGAAGGCACACCATTCACACTTTCAATACCTTATATACTAGGAGATAGATATAATTTATATCTATCTGTATAATATATTTATATCTATCTGTATAATTTTGTCATCTGCTGAAGAATCTGGCAAGAATGTGTTTCCATAGTGCTGTAATTTGTCACCTCTTGCAGAAACTATAGAGTGACAGAGTAAGAATCACATTAAGATTAACCAAAATTATGGCTGCTGAACATTTTTGTTGTTGCAGAGCTCTGGTGTACAAAATCAGACATGCTTGTGGATGTTGCTGAGGTGAATGGTAGAGTTCCTCCTGTATTTGTAAATTGAATGACTGAGTTGTTAATTCCATTAAAAGGCCAAATGCATTAATTACTTAAGAACAGATATACCAGTAGATGGAAACTGATGTATCACTGTAAAGGTTTTGAAAAACTACTTCCTCTGTTTTCACATATTTGTAATTTTCTTCCTTAAGACAAATCATCTTGTACTTACTCCTGGCATGTGCTTGTTTTCTCTGAGTTTATGCCTATATATGTTTGGAAATACTGATTTTTCAGTGTGAATGTAACCTTATTCTTGTAGGACAGCTATGATGTTGAGACTCGAGCTCTCTGAAGAGGAGGGAAATTTCTGTGTACCACTTCAGAGAATTTTACTGTTTGATTTATTGTTTTGGTGTCCTCAGTGTAAAATGTAGATTGCTTTAGATGTTCATGTAGCTTTTAAAGTATAGAAATTTCAAGAAAAGTAAAAATAAAACTCCTTAAATATTCATCTGGGTTTTAAATATTTAAAAAAGACTGTGTTCATAGTAGAGGACAAGATATACCATACAGGGGAGCTGGGACTCAGTGATCTTTAAGATCCCACCCAATCCAAACTATTCTATGATTCTATGATATGTGATGCATATCTTTACACTAAAGATTAAAATGCAATGTCTTAAATTTGAAAATTCTATGCTATTATGTCTCTGTTTTATTTTTTCTTTTGGGCAGATGTTTATTGACTTTCCTGGCAAGATAACTTAAAGCCTTTCAGAAATATTTGCTCCCTCTGGTATCATACAGGACCTTTTACTAAATTATACTATAGGCACTTCATTTGTAAGGACCTTTAGTAAATAATTGATATGGTGAAATATACATGCATAAATCCAGCTTTGTAATTAATTTTGGTATGCCTACTCTGACTTACACAAGTTGCTACAGAAGCATGGCTGCACTTTGTACAACTGTAAATCACTGCAAGGACTTGGAATTTTGAATAATTTAATAATGTAAAAAAGAGTAGAAGTATGTGAAACTCAAAAATTATTAGAACTTTTAAGTTTGGAATATACTTTTTCTCAGACCTGCCCTTTAGGTTTTCTGAACCTCACTGAAAATGAAGAGAACAACCCTGAGGCAATAAAAACTGCAGGGAGAAATTTAATAAAAGTTACAGACAAGTATCTTTTTGACTTATGCATTGAGAAAAGTTCAGATATTATGCAGAGTCTTCCAAGAGTAGTAGGATTGCATTCAAAGCAGGCCAATAACATTTAAAACTTTCTACCAATGTGAAGCCTAAGAAACCTTCACAGGCTAAAAATATTTTTTGATGATCCTGGTGAAATGAAGACATTCTGTAAGAAATAAAATCAAGAATATGAGAAAGATGAAAGACAATTACTGTGCAAGAAGTGAGGCAACATATTTTTAACTACAGATGATATTTTAGGTGATATTTGTTTTTCCCTTTTTATTATAAAATACAAACAATTTCTAGAAATTGTCTCTGAGAAATTTGACTCTGCTCTGGCTGTACAGAAAGCCCCCCAACCCAATCCCCCAACCCAAACCCCCAAAACTCCAAACCAAACAAATAAATGAAAAAATCAGCACCCTCCCCCCGCACCACATTCCCAAAAACCAAAATCAAAAAACCCCACAAAGAGCAAAAAGACTCGATGGAAAAAAAATTCCTCCTCTAGTTGAAATGTGTCATGGTTTGACGCTGGCACAATGCCAGTGCCCCCATGAAAATGTGATCCCTCCCTTGAATGCTGTGAAGTGGAATCTAGAACAGAGCAAAGCAGGCCCAAGCTTAATAACAGGAAAAAAAAAACTTTATTAAACTACTACTACTAAAGAAAAGAGAAAACTAAAGAAGGGAAAAAAAAACCACACAAAGATCAAATGAAAATCTTGCAAAACATTCCTCTCCCCACCACCCAACTCCAACAAACCACAGTGAGACACAATCTGGTCCCCAATCAGGTTTCCACCCTCCAGACAATCGATACTCAGTCCATCGAGGGAACAGAGTCTCTCCTATGCCACAGACCCCCCAAGAAACACAGCTCCACATCCTGTGTTTCCATGTCACACATGGCACCGCCTGGAGAAAAAGTTTGCCATGGTGACCCTTC